TTCTTTCGGATGTTGCCATTTAGGAGGGAGGTGGCAAAAATAGACTTGGGGGGGGGGGGGGGGGGGGGTGGAGTTCTCGTCCTTTTTTCCGACATATGCTGCCAAGAAAAGTGGAAGAATATCGCCAATCTTTCACGTGACACCTTACCGAGATGACACCATGCGCCACTGCAAGAGGCATCCGCGATGTAATCCGAAGCGGGAGGAGGGAGAGGGGAAGAATCCCCCCACTCAAGCGCCCTCTCCCTTTCCCGCTGTGCATCGGCTGAGGACAACGGCCCCGCTTTATAATCGTGACGACGCCGATGATCAGCAACCCGCCTTGTAAACTTCCACGCACAAGAGTGGTGGTCCCGAAAAATCGCGGTAAAAATCCCATCGCGGCAAAAATTCCCTGGCACAACAACCTAGCAACCCCAACCGTAACCCTACCGTAACCCTACCGTAACCCTACTGTACTACTAAATTACAATTCCGGGACCTCCCCCCAATAGCGCGGGTTCCGATCTAACACGGTGGTTCTTGAATGTCGCTACACCGAGACATACCATAGGTGACATGACGTAAGATATCACACACCCTGGACTGATTTTCAAAGCTCGATTACTGAGTGTACCTTTTTAGGGTAAGTTAACCTGTGACCACGGGAATCGACCGCGTCGAGTGTTGGATCAGTACGGACATACGAAGGTACTGGGTAGAGAGAGATCGGAACGGTTTTTTTAATGTGAAGACAACAACAACAACTCCACGAGAGGACGCCGAAATTGAATGATACGCTTTCGAAAACCTCTCTGCGAGACGGTTCCAACGCCTTCCGCCATTTACGGCACCGTCCTTGCTTTTCCTGCCGAGATATCGAGCTTCGAAAATCGGTCCTGGGGGTGTGATATCTTATGCAACCTACGGTATCGGGCCCACCACTGCAAGATAAGACTGCTGTATACAGGCAAGAAAACTCTTATTTGTCTTCTTTTTTGTTCGATGAGGTTCGTTGGGCTCTTCGTCGAGTCAAAAACACGTCAGCTTGTTTGAGCTTGGGAAACGTCACAGACGGCAGCTGGCAGCAGCTTACCTTCATCTTGTATCAGCCTTGATGACACTAGTAATACTACCATAGCTCTGATGAGTCCACTCCGGAGGCGCGCCTTGTACATGTACAGCAGTAGTGCTTGTGAAATAAAACGCTGTCCGGTCCAATCAAGTGCGGGGCGACGTGGTCTCACATGATTATTCTCCCACTGAAGGAGTCGAGGTCCTTGTGGCCGTCCACTCTCCCCAGCAGCACCTTCTGGACCTGCCTTATCTTCAGGTTCGTCTCGCCTGCGGTTGTCGCCGTTGTCGTGGGGAGGGTTGTTGTAGTTGTTGTTGTAGTTGTTGTTGTTTGGTTGTCAATTTGATTGTGTCTGCTGTGATTGCGATTGTTGTTGTTGTTGTTGTTGTTTGGCTGTCGATTTGATTGTGTCTGCTGTGATTGCGATTATTGTCGGTGTTTCGTTAGTGGTGTTGGTGTTGATGTTGATGTGCTGATGTGATCGTGACTGACTGCAAACGATGTGGCGTTAACTACGCCTCAGTTTAGACGAAAAACGATTCGCTACAAGGACGCCGTCAACAACATCGCACGTCCGGAGAACCATGCATAGACGCGCGCTCCTGCCAAAACCTTCCAATACACTGCGGTAGCCGGACACAAAACGCCGATTTTGCACTCATAAAAGTGAGATACATAGCGGTTACGACCAACCCCGAAAACAAAGTCCATCGACCACCACCACCACCAGGAGGAGCGCAAGTGCTCTATGGTGACACTCCCGACAACACTCTTGAGCGGCCGTATCAAGAGAGAAAGCATGGAGATGGTCTTATGGGTACGCACCGTCCAGAGACTTGGTTTCGACGTAGCACGCCCCGGAGCAATTGGGTCTGTACCGCTCGTGTACCCCCACCACCACCATGTCCGCCGGAACCTCCTCGCGGTTGTGCACCTGATTAACATCATCATGATAATCATCGTTCATCATCATCTTCTCAACATCAGTCATCTCCATCAATATCATCATCATGATCATCATCAATATCATCGTCATCGAACCACCATGATGATCATCATGATGATCATCATAATCATCATCCAATTCGCACATTGTTTACACACACACAACTTGAATTATCGCAGGGAGAAGTTCGGGGATTGTTGCGCTGCAACACACTGACATTGACGAAGTCTCCCACGGCAACCTCCCATCGTTCGTTCACAAAAACGTGGTGCCTTAATCGCGCCGCACGACTGAGCTTCACTCAAAACAACGTGGCGCTTTGTTGCGCCGCGTGTTAATTTGCGCCGCAAATGACTGACGTTGACAAAGTCTCCAACGGCAACCTACCAGCCTTTTTTCACTAAATACGTGGTGGCTTAATCGCGCCGCATGACTAACCTCTACTAACAGCATGATGCCTATTGCGCCGCATGCCTATTGCGCCGCACATGACTGACCTTGACGAAGTCTCCCACAGCCACCTCCCATCTCTCCTTCACGGTCCACTTGCCGCTATTCTTGTCCAGCACTACCGTTCGAGAAGCGTTCGCCAGTGCGTCAGCCTTGTGGCGACTCGCATCCTTTTTATCGCACAGGGGGAGAATCCGGACCGGGGGGGGGGGGGGGTGTACTCATAGTCGTGCACGTAGTCGTTAGACCATTGACCTGGCATCCTTACAAAGCCGGGACGGAGCACGCCGGGTTCTCGCCGGACCAGGCTCTCACATTCCCAAGCGCGAAGAACCGTGAGGTAGTAGGCGAGTCAGAAACGCTAATTTCGCTTCAGCCTTTGGAGGCGTCTCTCTCTTCTCATAAATAAAACAAAAAAAAAACACACTACAATGAAGAGATCCCTAGACTAACCATCCGAGGACGTGACTCGACAGGGTATTGGGATCCCTACTATAGGTTAGTGCAGGGTCGTTGACAGTGTGGACTGCTGTAACAGGCCGCACACATACGTGAAGAGTTCAACACACTGCTGTGATTGTCGTCGACAGTATGCATTACTGTACAAGGCCGCATAACCCTGAAAAAGACTTCAACACATCCCCTCTGAATGTGGTTTAATCTCGAACGGGGATTATCTCTGTTTTTGTATGTGTACTCCGGATGATTTTCTAAAAATATGAGGTCGGCGGTTGCCCTGTGTATAAGGCCGGTGAAATCGTCTGGCGCATAGGGATATTCAAATTGTCTCAGAATAGTGCCGGGTGGGTGCCCGGTTTAAGGTGGGCAAAACCTCCTCGGCACTATGCGGCTTTACACTAAGACCACCAGTGCTGTACCCATACCCGTGTATTGCATCCTCCTGAGCTACAGTAGTCTCTCGCTTGAGCCTTTGACTAGGGCACAGCAGCACATCCATGGCAACGAAAATTTACACATCCACTCTATTCGTCATTCATACCTCGATGATGGTGAAGATCATGTCGATAAGGACGATGAAGAGCAGCGGCAGGAGCAGGATGGGGTAGCCGAACGTGCTCGTGATGGCCGGGATGGCCTGTGGTAGTGTCAGAGAGAGACGCGCGGCGGGATTAACGCCGGTTCAGCTCTGTTGGTGCTAGGATTGGGACGACTTTTCATTGAAACGCCATTGCACAGGTCTTGGGAAGAAAAAAAACTCGGGAACGGTTCGAGACAGAGAAACGGCTCGCAGAAAAGCACATGTTGTCGGTGCGATCAATCGGGGCAATGATATTGTCACCAACCCACCCACCCACCCACCCCCAAATAAACAGAACGGAGTATGTATAGGAGCAGCAGCAGCGGCGGCGGTCCACCAACAACAGCAAAACATCCAGCAGCGGTATGTAGCAGCAACGGTCCAACGACCGAAGCAATACATCCAGCAGCAGCAGCAGCAGCAGCAGCAGCGGCAGCAGCGATCTAACAACAACAAATCACCGTACAGCAGCAGCGGCCGGACGACAAAACCAGAACACACAGCGGCAGTAGCAGCAACGGGCTGGCGTGGCGTACGACGCGTACCTGCATAGAGCTGACGATGAGAAAGTAAAGGTTGGCGATCTTCTTCCTGGGGTGGAACTCCACCGCCAGGAACTTGGGCATGAACGACCACACTTCGTACTTCGAAGTCTTGTAGGGTAAAAAAACAGAAAAGGCGGGGCGGGGGGGGGGGGTGTTCATAACCGTGCATGCCGTTTCTCGTTAGACCATTGACCTCGCATCCCCACGAAGCCGGGACGGAGCACGCCGGGTTGTCACCGGACCAGGCTCTCACACCACCAAGCGCGGAGCGCCGAGGGTGCAAGGGGAGGGAGTGTACCACGACATAGGAATGGGGTGCGTGAGCGTAGTCCTGCTTCGAGAAGGGGGTTGGCCGATGTACATACTGAACGGAAATCGTGCACGGAAAACAACCACCGTGCAGGAGAGGCAGAAGCCAAGAGAAAAAACATGGCGCGCATCTTTAGATTCCCGTCTGGCTGGTTGATGGAAGAAAAAATCAACAACCAAAAGAAGCGGCGAGGACGTGTTAGTTAGTCAGCCCGCGCGCACCTTGATGAAGTTGTCGCAGAAGGAATACTCCTGAGGCTTGTTGATTTGCACGATCCTGCGACATGGCATAGCCACGGTGGGGCGACGGCAGCAGCAGCAGCAGCAACCACAGCACATGAAGGGACGTCAGAGTCAGCGGTAGCCCCATTAAGAGCGGATACGTACATAGGCCAACCTCGACTAACGCGCTTGCATGGCGGAGGGTTCTTGCCTTCCGCCGCCACTGCAAAACGGCGAGAGTCCTCGGCTTGACTCGGTAGGCGTGTTTCTTTGTGATTTAATTCACGTACTTTCTTCCACCCAGTTTGAGTGAAAAAACACAAACGGACAAAAACACAAACAAGGCAATCGCCTGTCGTGTGTGAGCATGTCCGGCTGGATGGGTTCGGGCCTATTTCTGTCGTATCAACTCCGTTCTGCCGACCACAACCTCAAAGGCTCATATTGATATCACCGCCGAATCCCACTTCTGTATCATCCTACCAGAGATTCAGACAGTATCGCCGAATCAAGTTTCTGCTTTTATATTACGAGAGATTTTTTGACAGTGTCGCCGAACCCGATTTCTGCATTATCTTGCGAGAGATTCTGACAGTATCGCCGAACCCGATTTCAGCACATCTTACGAGAGGTCCTGACAGTGCCGCCGAACATCACGCCGCGCATCACTATGTACTCTACGGTCACCTGGTCGGCCGCTCTAGGACATCCTCGATGGTAGGCTCGGGCCAGTTCTTAGGGTTCGCCGACGGCAAGGGGTTCTGTTGCCCTCTGAGGGCTCTCCACAGCCGCTGCGCCATGTTTCCCTGCTGCTTTCTCCGCCTTACGTGGCGCAACAACAGCAAGTGGTGGGACGAGAAGAAGACGAAAAAAAGTTGTGCGATGGACCAACAAGAGGAGAAATAAGCACGCTACGGTGCGGAACAGGAAGAAGAGAAAGAAGAAGGTAAAGTTGCGCAAGAACAACAAGTGGCCCGACAGCAAGATGTGGCGGGGCAACAAGAAGAGGAAGAAGAAGGGCAAGCGGCGCAACAACAAAAAGAGAAAGGTCGAGTGAAGGAACAACAAGAAGAGAACGAATAACGTTAAGTAGTGCGACAAGAAGAGAACGAGAAGGTTGAGTGGCGGGACAACAAGAAACAAGACGGTTAAGGAGTGCAACAACAACAAGAGAAACAAGGTCAAGTGACGCAACAACAACAAGAGACAGCAGGTAAAGTGGCGGAACAACCAGAACAGAAATGAGAAGGGCGTGGTTGACCCGCAAGCCCCAGCTTCGAAGCATAGCCTCGGAAAGGACACCCACCACATGCATTCTGCGTGCAGTTGCTCTTGTATTGCTTGCGCAGCTCCCGAGATTCCTCTAACTATGCTATAATAGGTAACTCTTCGAACACGGTGATAGCCAACTAAAGTACCGCTGTGGGTGCTGTGGGTGCTGTGGGTGCTGTGGGTGTGGTTTAATTATTAGCACCGACCGCGCTACCAGGCTGACCAACGAAAAGACGTCAGTATCAGCGGGAAAAATCAAGCTCCATGCAACTGTGTGTATGTGTGTGTGTTTTTGGCACAACTCTACAACCTTCGGTAAACATATACTTTGAACATGTTTGATGCACCAGCCGGGGTAAACGTAGAAAATGTTTCATGTTCTCCGACCTTTCTTCCTGGGGTGCTTGCCTTTTCAATATCTTGCTCTGCTGTGGTATGAGATAGGAATTGGCACTACATTGCCAGTTCTCACAGGCTTTTTGAGTTAATGCACCCCCCTGCTGGTCAACGCCTGTCTGGTCTGCTGGGAACAGCCGGCGTGCTCCTTCCGACTCAAAAAAGATTCGGGGACCCATGCATTACAACAGCCCCCCCCCCCCCCCCCCCCCTTCCAAAAGGGTTGGTGAAGGGGTAAAGACCCCAGGGCCTTATGTTC